ATTTTAGTCCTGACATCTGAACTACTAAACAAGGTCATAAATAGTGTGCTTGGGATCATGATTTTTAAAAAAACATACAAGAAACTGTGCAGTTAAATCTCACAGCACATGCCGACTTATCAGACTTAAAAAGGCAATTTAAGTCTGAAAGAAGCACACCTTTGATTTATGTTAGAAAGTTTTCGTAAATAATCAAATGAGCAGCGCCTGGATCCTTTAACCTGCTCCAGTGAGATACAGACTCATAGGAGCTTCAAACCATGTTAAGCATGTGCCCGCCCTATTCATCAATACCCGTTTAAATGGTTACAGGGCGGATTTCTTTTTAATAAGCAAGCTATGGTGCTGTTGAGTAAATGTCTGTCAAATACCTTGCGAAATAAAACAAATACTTGGATTTTAACAACGCTCTTTTTTTTTAGCATTTTACAACACTGCATCTGTTGATAAATCAAATCTCTCCTATCGTTCGCATCTATATTAAAACGACTAGATATTGTGCTTTCCAACCAGACCCCTTTGAAAGATATTTGCCAACCATTGGGCAACCAGTTGTTGTTATTATTATTAGGGGTGTGGGTTTGGCAGATGGTACTAAATCCTCCAGAATTGTTTACTTTCCAAAATGAAATAATGGGATTTTTTTAAGAAAAACAACACACGCACATTTCAGCTCTCCAACCCAACATTGCAATGTTAAGGCAGCCTCCCACACGTTTATTAACGATTGCCCATTGAACCAAAGCCAACCCACGCCCCAGAGCCTTTCACATTTGCCCCGCACACGTCGCAAATCATGGCTGTGTTCTGCAATATAAAGCAGACCATTACATTGAAGCGTTTTCTCCAGTAGATTCGTGTCTCACTCTTCAGTTAAGACGGTCACCCACAGCGTTCCTTTATCTACTGCTGCACGTTAGTTCCGCAATGTTTGCACCGAGTCCATTAATCAAATTTGATGCAATATAAGCAGATTGCTGCTGTAAGAAAATGTTCACCAAGTCCCCGACTCCAGTACCATGAGCATTTTCCTTCACAGAATGAGATTTCGCTGTTTGCTTTTCCAGCCCTTTGACAACAAGTGAATCTCAACTGTGATGTTAATGCGTTCTCTCGTCATCTCCATGTCAGGTAAATCCAATGGGATTGGGGACGATTTCCTCTCACCGAGCACTTCAATCATTTGGGAATGAATTTTACCCACAGGCTAATCCCTACCTCTCTCTTTCTCTCTGCTGAGTGCCATCACTCACAAGCCAGCAGGTTCACCATACTCACATCCACACAACCTTCTACCAGAGCTCAGCTCTATAGACTAATTCATTATAGTTCTATTGCCAAGGGCTGGAGGGTATCCCTCGTCCCATTCAGCTCTGCCGAAGTCATTAAATAACCATGTTAACGTCAAAACAGTAGTCACTGGGCGATTTCGGAACAGATTTATTCAGCGTAACGTTGCTTTGTGTTTAGAAAGGGGCATTTGACGATCAAGTGCGGAATGAAAGGGACCTGCAAAAGGCATGACCCCCGATCAGTTTCTATTGAGGGAATCATTACGCAAGTAGTAGAGTATGTACTGATGTGGGTGTCGCGATATAACTGATGGAAACTAGATTTTTTTTAAAAAATGAAGTTTTTCCTATATATATATATATATGTGCGTGTGTATAAACGTTATTTTCTCACTTGTGTCCTTTCCTATTCAGATAAAAGTCAGGCTCTTTCAAGCGTGTTTCTCCCTGATGTACACACACCCCAGAAAATATACAATCAATTCATTTCACAGTATGTTCAATGAAGCGCTAACAACGTGATGATGTGCTGTATCAAATGCAAGTATAATTATTATTATTATTGTTATTCCCCCCTCTCTCCCTCGCCAGCTGTTATTCTCAGCTAACGCTCCAGGTTCTGCACTGCTGTGATTGGAGACTGCAACCGATTAAAACATATTATGAGCTCCTTCGTCAGAACTTCTTTTTTGCAAGCGAACTGTTCCGAAAGCACTTCATCTTAAACAAACATTACATTGGAATCATCCCGCGGTCTGTCACCGAAATGCACTGAAACCATAAAAATATTCAGTTTACAATCCGACCTGCCTACTTAGCTTTGTCACTTGCACTGTAAGAGATACGCAAAATCGTTGAAGGAAAGATGCAGACAGATCAAAATAACTCTCCAATGTCAGGATGGTAAAGTTTGGACCCCAGTACGATCAGATCATCTTCTCCAGAGCAGTGATGGGGGTTTCACTGTAGAAGTGTTCTGATCAGAGATGGCATTAGCAGCTGCACAGTCATAACTGAGACCAACTCAAGTGTCAGACTGGTCACTGATGACTTTCAGAGCTTTCCCGCAATCCGCTTGCGGGCTTTGCCTCCCCGGCGAGAGACTTTATACCTTTATTTTACCGAGAAAAGAGTCCGGGAAATACATTTGGAAATAATACGTTGCAACACAAGATGTCGCAGTAGGTGTTCTTTTGGAAGGCTCGCGTGTGGATGAAAAAAAAACAACTGGGAGGAGGGGAAGGGGAGGATTGGAGGGTTGCAGCTTTGCCGTTGGGACTCGGTAGGGGCTGGAAAAGCAGCACCAGGAAAATCTCTCCTCTCTCCCTCTCTCCCTCCCCCATTCTCCAGCCACAGCCCGGCTTTAGTTTGAATTAAAGTTGAGAGTCCCATTGTATACAGCAACTTTGCCTCCCAACACGTGGCTGGAAGGCAACGTATTCCCTGATTCCCTGATCCTGGCAGGGAATGAATGCCAGACTCCAGAGCGATGCCCCTGACTTTTCATGTTGGGTGGGGGGAGAGGGGGAATATTAATCAGCATAGTATAAAGGCATTATGCGANTTAGCGCAATAATCACGTCCTCTCATTATATTGATGAGACTTGAGATTTTTTTCGAGGGTTGTTTAAGATATATAAAAGTGTAGCATTAAAGCTGAGAGGGTGACAGGAGGCGAGGGAGAGGCCGTGGGGTTTGCAGGAGATGCGGTTTGCAGTGATCTGCTGAAGCCTGAGTCAGAAGCCAGTGTGAGTGCTGGTTCCTGTGGAAAGCAATGGAGAGGACCTGAGCCACTCGACTTTTGCGGCTCAGTCGATCTATGAATTTGAAAAGGCTCAGATCCTGCCCGGCTCCCACCCCGGGAGTGACAGGCGAGCTCTTATGAGAGGGGCAATCGGGCAGATGCAAATCCCCCCCTGTCAGGTTAGAAGCAGCCCGGCCATGGCACACATCAATAATTGTCATTACTTTCACGTCAATGCAAATCCAACGCGATCGTGTCAGGTGGACGGCTTTGGGGGAATTAAAGTGTGTATCTTGGGTTGGGGGGGGGAGGGGGGGTAGGGGATTAGATGCCGCATGCACGCAGGTAACATTGTAAATCGGTTAGTTTACATAACGTTTCTTTCCACTATCTAACCTCCAGCATTCCCCCCGATGATAATAATAATAATAATTATAATAATAATAAGGGGGTGTTCTGAGAGGCCGCTAAGAGAGATGTTGTGCTCAGGCGAGTCTTACTGCGAAATATTTCCCCCGCAGTTTAAGAAGATCTTAAACTGAATATCTCACAACGGGTCGTTTAAGAAGATGTATTGAGATCAGTGACCCGCAGACAGGCATTCATCCCTATTATGGACTGCCCTCACTTTAATAAACTTCACGCAGAAATTTATCCAGACTTATCTTCGACATTTTTTGTATCTTACAATAAATTCTACTCTCCTGCACAGTGTTTATAAACGGTGCCTGTGGTCAGTCGGAATCTTTTGCAGAAGAAGGAACGATTGAGGCTAAAACGTCCCGAGTGTGACTTTTATTTAAGCAAAACAAAGTGGAGGTTTCTGCAGTGCCCTAAACTTTATTGTGATACACTCTATTTCAAGTCCTACGGGGCGCTGAAGACTAGAAATCCAGCTGTTAGGAGTGTCTGTCAGGGAGTTTCAGGTTACATGTAGTTGACCAAAGCAGCAAAGTACTGAAATACTTCTGCAGTCAAACAGAAGAAGCGCATTAGCTCTGCGATCTGAAGCCGATAAGCAGTGTCAAGTACAAAAGCGCTCTCAGCCTCACAGCTTCATCTGATGGAGTAATATGCACTTATTGGCCCGGCGTCAGTGACCTGACTATCCGCACCCTTGACCTACAAGTTTTTTTTCAAAATAATCTTGAGCGGGAAAGGGATGCAAGAACCATTTAGCTGGTGGTACTGTGCACTGTCCTATCAGTCGCGACATTTGCACATTCCCCAAGACATATCACCGAAGGACAACAGCGAAGTCTGTAGGTGGGAAAGGAGGGGAGGCACTGACTGCACTGACGCTTTGCTATTAATGCGATATTAATAACTAACCTGCATGCGAGCAGGTACTAAGCATTATTCCCCCCTTCAGTATGTACATGAGCTTTAATTGGACCGGATGATTTTCACTTTACAAAGTTATTTTAAGCTTAAAAGGAGCAATTTACTGGCGGTGACCCTGTCTGCACATCGACCCCAGTTCAATGGTTCGCTGGTTTCCAATGTCTGAAAAAGCGACCTGCAATTGACCAAAGTACATACTCGGGGGTGGGGGGGGGGGGGGGGGGGTAACACGCCTTAAGACTGATGGGAAACCCTATATGCCCTCCTCACACCCATTTATTTGTGGGAGACTCCATCGTTTTAATGCTAGTGATGAGTACTGACACCAAGCTCGGAACACATGCCTTCCGATCGCTGCACAAACTAAACCCCACAAGTTGATGTGGTGTTCAATCCACGTGTTGAAGTTAATATTGCACGTATGGACTGAACGGTTAACTCAGAACCCGGACACTTGCAAACGGGTCTCTCAGTTCTCCAAACGATCAGGCGGATGAAAGGTGAAAGGGAGCGACAGGGACACATAATGGGAAGAGAGGTGGGGGGTGGGGGACATTAGGTGTTTGGGTGGAAAGTTAAACAGGTGTAATAAGGAGTAACAACAAAAAAGCAAAACTTACTTCTTCTGTGCCGCCTTCCTCTGGAGGCGTTTTGGCTGCCAATGTATTCCATACAGTTTAATAAAATTAGAACCACAGAAATCAGTCGAAATTGCATAGTAACCTGCGGGTGACGTCCCTCAAATCAGTTACTGCAGTGACTCGGGGTTGACTTTGGGGGGGAATCTCCGGGAAATCCTCCTCGACTGCTGGCTATTGATGCAAATGGAGCAGAGTGGGCAGACGGTCTTTACGGCTCTATAGTGCTACGAAGTGCAGACAGATCTGATCTGGGGCCCCAGAACCACTGGCCCGACTTGTAAGTAACATCTTGTAGCCAAGTGATTTGGAAGCCACATAGAGCTCAGTGCGCTTGGGTCTCACGTCCTTAAAAAGAAACGCCTCAGACAGCCCCAGACCAGGTCCCGTCAACATCTGCTCTGCCGACACCCCTCAAAAACTGTCACATTTAACACCTTCACAGCCATCCGCTCTTCCAAACCATCTGAACATACGCCAATTTCTTTTTTTTTTGGGATGGGGGGGGGGAATCTTTAGGTCAATCTTCTGGAATAATTCTCTTTTGCTATCTGATTGCGGCTCATCCAAAATCCTTAAATCACCGCGAATGTGTCAGATCAGCAGTCGGACTGAAAAGAACATAACCATTTTTTAAACTAAATGGGCCCTTTCAGTTCCCCCTTTTTTTTTTCCTCTCTCTCTCTCTCTCTCTCTCTCTCTCTCTCCTCCCAAAATCAGATTTGGTTTGGTGCCACTCTCCGCGTAAGGGCTGTGGGAGGAAGGAGAGAGGAGGGCGAAGTATATCTGGAAGAGTTTTTGCCCCCAGTGTGCGCGGCGCTGATCCAATCCAAACCCTCTCCGAGCGTCGCTGAGGGATTTTTTTTTTCCGCTTCAGACGCGGGATTCCCGACCTTGTCAGTGTCACGCTGTCTGTCGTCTGCAAAGGTCCTCGGAGCTCAGAAAAGTCATGACTTCCTACCGCTGGACCTCTAACGGGTTGTTGTTGTTGTTGTTTTGGGGGCTTTTTAACGCACCCGCCGTTTCGTTCTTTCTTTCTTTCTTTCTTTCTTTCTTTCGCTCGTGTGATGGTTATAGGTGTGAGCACAGAGAGGACCGAGACGCGGGCGACAGCCCCGAGTTGTGCGCTGAGAGTGTTGTTGTTTTTGTTTTTTTTTGCCTCTCAGTCCAGTCCAGTCCGGTCCGGTCCAGTCCCGCGCTGATACGCTTCGCACTCTTGAGGGCGATATGACTGAGCAGAAAAGGCACTAAAAGCAGATCAGATGACGTGGGCTGGCGCACAGAAACTCCACAAGCCAGCAAAGGGGCTCTGGCTAATATACTTGTCTTTTCTCAATAAATATGGCTTAGCCTCGCCCCCAAAGGCTCGTCTGCTGGAGGGGTATATAAGTCCAGTCCACGGCAACTGTGTTCCTTTGCTGATCCGCAGCTCGGCTATTTGCAGCAGCACATCGATTACACGGGAGGCGGTGAATCGGACCGTGCAATGCTGGAGTTTTGTATTTTTAAAGCTGAATTGATTCCCCCCCTCCCTCCCTCCCTCCCTCCCTCCCTCCCTCCCACCCCAAATGTATTTGAATCACAAGGCGCTTCCAAACCATTCCTCCGCATCGATGGGAACAAAAAGAAAAGTGTCCCGAAGAGGCGCAGCGCAGCGCAGCGCGGTCGCTGAACACCGATGGACACTCCGCAGACGCAGGGCACGTTTTGCGCAAAATAGCGATGCAAAAAAAATTGTCTGCTGCAGAGCGCGAAAAAAAACGATCAGCCACAAACGAGGAAACACGGGGAGGTATTTTAAAGGTTCTCCCAATGCAAAACAAGGAGCCCCCTTCCACCCCACTTTTTTTTATTGATTTATTGATTTTTTTTTATCCCAATCTCACGTGAAGACACAGTGACATTTCAGGACAGGCAATGACTAAAGAGCAGCGAGCGATGGGCTAAGTTCAGGCAGAGGCGCCTCTAATGAGCCTTATCCATTGATCCACATGGTTTTGTTCCTCGGCGTCAATGGGAAGTTGCCAGTCATTAAATACCCGTGTGCTGCTGGTGTCCTTTACCCCAAATCAAACCAGTTGTGTGTGTTACAGGTCCCCGTTGAATAAACAGCACACGTATTCCACTGGTGTGTCCAATGCATAGCTTTTAACAATTACTGCTCGTGGGAACCATTATAATAATTGGTGGTATTTTAGTTGCTTTCTATCCATGCCGGTGGTCAGCATATCGAAATCATTTAATTGGAATGAAAAAAATTATCACATGAAACAGCAAATGTTGCCGGAGTGAGTCATGGAATTTGGATGAGGTTTAATTTCCATTACCCCAAATGAACATTTTTTTGGCTAACCAGGTGTCTTACATGCGTAGAAACCCCTTATTGTGGTTTAGCTTTTGCGACCTCACTGTTAGCAGTGCCAGTGATAGCGAGGTTACAGAAGCTAAGATGCTGTTTGCCACTCTGAGTGAACATTTTTTGTTGGTGGAAGAAACACAGCTTTCTTGTGCAAGTTAGCCTTGAGAACACAGGTGTATGTGAGGCATCAGATACCCAAAGTGCATATTGAACTACTGCTGGAATGTAACAGTTTACCGTCGGAGGAAACGGATACGTTTCCCATAACTTCCATTGGTGAGCAAGGCAAACTGGACAGTTATCTTCATTCCCCTGGAATATTGAGGACAGGACTGGTTAAGGTATTAAATCACTGAGGCCATCAAAGGGAGTTAATAATAATCCTTACACATAATAATAATAATCCTTGCAATTGATATAGCGCCTTATCACGTCTTCGAGGTGTCTGAAAGCACCTCACAGATTATATGGTAAAGTAAATTGACTGGATATTTTATGGGTGAAACATGACAGCCAATTGCGCACAGTAGTGTCGCACAAGCAATCGTGGATTGAGTGACCAAATTATAATTTTTATTTGAAGGGATAATTACCAATGGAAAAGTGATCTGCCAATCGACTAACAACCAGGTTCCTATTTACTGCTAGGTAAACAGAGGCTTGTGGAGTAAGGAAACTTGCCTAATGTTTCTCCCTGCCCGGGAATCGAACGCAGTTCTATTCGCAAACAAGAACTGAGATATTCATGGGGACAACATAAAAATATCTCAAGTGAGGAAACTGTGTATTTCCATCGCACCAATTCTAGTCAGGCTCCACTGGCTCCCTATCGCCAAACTGATCGATTTCAAGATCCTCATACTTGTCTTCAAATCGCTTCATGTCCTGGCAACTCCCTACCTCTCTGACCTGCTTATGCCAAACTCACAACCCGCTGCGTCCGGTCAACTGGCTCTGGCCCTCTGCATGTCCCTAGTGCCCTTCATTCCACCATTGGTAGTTGCGCTTTCTGCCACTATGCCCCAAAACTCTGGAACACTACTTGGAACTGTATCCTTCCGCCTTGCCATTTCCTTCCCCATCCTCAGATTGGGTCTGAAGACCCTCCTATTCAACGTGCCTATGATCAACTCTCCCTCCCCCTGTCTCAGCATCGTGCTTCGCCACTGCCAAGCACCCTGGGACACTACCCTGCACGAGGGGCGCTATATAAATGCAAGTTGTTGTTGTTATTTGTAGGTAAAATTGGGCACAGCCAGTTCCCACAAATATCCAGCAAAGATAATAACCAATTAATATGCAAGATTTTTAGCCGCTACACCATGCATCATATACATCATATTCACCTGAACAGGCAGACAGGAACTTATTTTAACAGTTCACATGAAGGATAATACCTCCAACAATGTAGCACTACCCCAGCACTGCAGTGGAATGTCAGTCTAGAATATGAGTTTAAATTCCAATATTTGTTTTGTTCATCTGGGTGGCGGACACACATGGAAACCCATTACAATTCTTGAGAGTATCCAAACCAGACTGAGAGTTCCATATGTACATGTTATCTACATTTGGAAATTTCCCTGTGAATTCCCTGCAATGGAATGCATCCTCTCTAACTTTAGGAATGGGCCCTGATATACTACTACTACTAATAATAATAATATTCCTTGCATTTGATACAGCACCTTATCATGTTGTTGAGACATTTGGAAGTGCTTCACCGAGTATTATTATATTGTAAAGTGTATTTTATGGACAAAATGCGGCAGCCAATTGTGCACAACAGTGTCCCACAAACAGTCATGGATTGAGTGACCAATTTTTTTAGGGATTATTACCCCTGGAAAAGTGATCCGCCAATTGACTAATAACCGGGTTACTTTCCTAATTACTTTCCTAATTCCAGCAAGTACTAGCCACAGTTTTGGTGAGAGCTAAAGTTTGGGAAAACCAGAGTGCAGTATAATCAGCTAAAAATATATAGATTGCCAAATTGAACACTCTCCGGCAAGTTTTCTGCTGCTAGTCAATCTAGGACTACTCCACCCATTAGGGCTTTGCCTTACAGTATTAACAGGCACTGAGTGAGAAGAATCCTTGGACCCAATCATTGTTCTGCCCTGCCAAGTCCTGCCAATAAGCCTGTCTGACTTGTATATCATTAGTTTTACCTTGGAGTATACTGTGCACCTGGCTCAGGAACCGCACTACTGAGATCGCCAATCTTGCACCCAGTTCAGCACCATGGACAACCTGCTTACCTCTCCTTCAAGGAGGATAGTCACTCATTGATCATTTGATGTCCAATAAATGCAGGCTTGAGCCCTCACTGGGTGGATAGCATGTACCAAGAGCTCCCTGTGGATTTTCAGTGAGCACCACAGCTCAGCACGAAAGGGGCTCAAACCCCCACTTTGTGACCCAGAAGTGATTTTGCTGCCAAGTGAGCCAATCTAAGTTTATTCAGCTACACCATTCTTCCACCAGGAAGCTAACAGAGTCCTAGAGAGATCCTCATCACTCACCTTCATTTGCTCTCTAAGGAGAATATTCAACATTTGGTGATCATACAACTTTCAAGGATGGATTTGAGCGCTTGATGGATTGATTGTTGGTATTGTCCTGTAGTTCAGTGGTTAGAGCACTCGCCTCACAAGCAAGAGAACTGGGTTTGATTCCCAGCAGGGCGAAACCTTGAGCAAGTTTCCTTATTCCACACGCCTGATGATAAACTCTCAAGNAAAAAAACAATAATAATTTGGTCACTCAATCCACGATTGTGTGTGGGACACTGCTGTGCCCAATTGGTTGCTGCGTTTCGCCCACAAAGTATCTAATCAATTCACTTTATGGTATATTTTGTGGAGCGCTTTGAGACATCTAGAAGATGTGAAAAGTGCTATATCAAATGCAAGGATAATAATACTATTATTACATTGGGAATGCTCACTTTACTGAAATAAAGTGTGTGACAGCAATAGCACCATCCTCCAGGTTACACATATAAATTAAAAATCAAGCAAAACACAGTATATAGCATAATATAGACAAGCAATCCTTTTATTCATAGCCACAATATTTATCATATTCAGGGATAAGTTATAACATGCTTCGGAGGTGTCATAATGAACATTAATAATCTACTACTAAGCCTTCAGAAATTGGATGTCTCTCTTTGGAGCAATTCACTTGAAATTCCAAACTATCCAAATTGGACATTACACTGACCTACCAGTGCTGGAGCAGTGCTGCATTACCAGATAGGTCACCAGAAGAATGATACATTCATCCAAGTCCCTAAGTGCTTGTTTAGGTTGACTTTAAGAATTTCATGATACTATTTGAAAAAAGAAAGGAGTTGCTCCAAGTGTCTTGGCCAAGAGTGCTCCAGATAACTTAGTCATTCACATCATGCTTAAATATGAGACAATTCTGTGGGCAAATTGGCTGCTGTATTTGCATACAAATACAGCCAATGTAATTGATAACAATTACCCGTGAAGCGCTTTGAAACATATCAACATTACAAGTACTGTATCAAATGCAAGGATTTTGTATGGTATTTTGTATGAAATGGCTCAATCAATACTAATCTGACACTCGAATGCAATGCTGTCCTTCAATGAGACATTAAACTGAGGTCTTGTCTACCTGTTCAGGTGGACATTACAGATGCCATGGCATGATTCGAAAAAGTTTCTCTCAGTGTCTTTGCCAACAATCCCCTAATAAAATTAGTGATTCACTACTGCCATTAATTTTTTTGCCATAAAAAGCTACTTTCGGGCACTAACAAGGAACATAATTGTCAATCACGAAAAAGTGACTGAATCTATGTATAGGGAATACAATATTTCATGTCACTGATTTATGTTGAAGCGCCAATTCAGTAGTGCAAATGGTGGAAGGTTGCTTTATACTCTTGAGTGCCATGATCATCTCCATCATCTCCTTGGTTATTGTGTAATCGGTCTTCAGGTATATTGTCAATGTG